AACCGGGCACCTTGCATTCATAGATTGCATTCATGCTACTGAAGAATTTGCTGCTATCCTCGCACTGAGAAAGAGGTTCATGCGTCTGTATGTGATTGTAAAATGATGATTCATGGTCGAATGTCCGCCCACAACCAGGCACTCTGCATTCATAGATGAAAGGTTGACCGTGTGTTTTCCTATGTGTTAGATATTCGTTACGACTTTTCGTGACCATAGCGCATCCAGGATAAAGGCATTCATACCTTCGTTCGTCTCAATTGATATTTTCTTATGCGATAAACCATAAAGATATCATTCCCATGAAATAACTTACTTACCAGATTCCATTTCAAATAATTTAGATCACAAGAAATTGTTTAATTATTTCTGAGTATAGTTACAACAAAAACAGTAATTGTGAATTTTTCGTTGTGTTGTCACTCAGCACTCACAAATGTTTCGTAGCACATTTCACACGCATTCCATTTCAGGATGATGCATGTGTTTGAAATTCTGTTAAATTTACATACTGAAAGATTTTTTTTGGCAGAGTCTCTTGTGCTTTCGCAGTGCATTCCTGTTGACGAGAAATGTGCCACAATCCTCGCACTGAGGACGAGGTTCATGCGTCTGTATGTGATTGTAAAATGTTGATTCATGGTCAAATATTCGCCCACAACCGGGCACCTTGCATTCATAGATGAAGGGCTGACCATGGGTTTTCCTATGTGTTACATATTCGTTACGACTTTTCGTGACCATAGCACATCCAGGATAAAGGCATTCATACCTTCGTTCGTCTGAATTGATATTTTCTTATGCGATAAACCATAAAGATATCATTCCCATGAAATAAACTTACCAGATTCCATTTCAAATAATTTAGATCACAAGAAATTGTTTAATTATTTCTGAGTATAGTTACAACAAAAACAGTAATTGTGAATTTTTCGTTGTGTTGTCACTCAGCACTCACAAATGTTTCGTAGCACATTTCACACGCATTCCATTTCAGGATGATGCATGTGTTTGAAATTCTGTTAAATTTACATACTGAAAGATTTTTTTTGGCAGAGTCTCCTGTGTTTTCGCAGTGCATTCCTGTTGGCGAGGAATTTACCACAATCCTCGCACTGAGGACGAGGTTCATGCGTCTGTATGTGATTGTAAAATGTTGATTCATGGTCAAATATTCGCCCACAACCGGGCACCTTGCATTCATAGATGAAGGGCTGACCATGGGTTTTCCTATGTGTTACATATTCTTTGCAATTTTTTGTGATCACAGTACATCCCGGATAATGACAAGTATATTTTTTCTTATCTGAAAAATTCTTGTCAAAGCATTTTGTAATCAGTAGTCCATTACACATTTGGTACTTAAATAATGTGAGAAATCATAAAAATGTCATTGTCATAAAAATATCACATTTCATTTTGAATAAGTTAGGTAAAAGGTAGTTCTTTACTTACCTTCTCATATTTTGAAGCCAAAGTCATACTGTAAATGTCACCTCTTCAATTTCATGCGAATAATGAAACCAAAGAACTTTTAGAACGAAAAGTTGTTATGCAATGTGTCATTACCTGTTCCTGATTCTTTATAGGTATTTTCCTTGTAATCGAGGATATTCAAGTAATCTGAATGCTTATTGTCGATGTTGCTCTGTTCAGCAGTTGCACTTTGACTGGAAGTGTTATCTGAGGAAAGAGTAAGCTGGTGAAAATAAATCGGAACGGCATTTTGTTGTGAGCCAGGTAAGTGCATATATGTGATAATATCATCGCTGTTGAGATTAAATGAGGAAGATTATTAGAATTAGAAATTAGAAAAACAAAGTAATTTGTCAAGAGTGGATGGAATATTCATTACTTTGCTAATATTTTCAATGTTTGTTGGTGTATATTGAAACGTCACTGTCACCACTGTCAAAACCTTTTTTAAGAAGTTGATTCTTAGGTCATGAAAAGTTGCTACATTGAGAAAACGATATGAAAATACACAGTATCTAATGAGCGCATTAAACAAATTTTGTATTGTGACTCTGTGGCCACAAATGCTTCGCAACAAAATTTTACATGCAGTCTATTTCAGGCTGATATATCTATTAAAATTCTGCTAAATTTATAAACTAACGAGATTTTTTTTGGCAGATCTTTTTGTGTTTTTGCAGTCCATTCCTGTTGGTGAAGAATTTGTCACATCCCTTGCATTGAGGACGAGATTCATGCGTTTGCTTATGGTAGCGAAATGATGAACCATGGTCGAATATTTGCCCACAACTGGGCGCTCTGCATTCATAGATGAAGGGCTGACCGTGTGCTTTCCTATGTGTTATATATTCCTTGCGACTTGTCGCAATTACAGCACACCCGGGATAGAGGCATTCGTAGCTTTTTCCACCTAAAAAACTCTTATAATATTTGTTTTTGCAATTGCCATTCTGTTACAATGTTTGGCAACTAATTATGTAATCTGATTATCACTCCTTAGCACATCTCATTTCAAATAATTTTCATCCTAGAAGCCAAATTTTCTGTGTGTTTTTTCTTGTACATGCATTCTATTTCAAGCTGTCATATACTTCTAAAATTCTTTTAAATTTTCAAACTAACGAGATTTTATTGCTCCAACCC